GCAGGTAAGTGGGCTGGGAAATGCCACAGACTCCTTTTTTGGAGGAGGAGAATGAAGATGGCCCAGACACATTGCCTCTGAGAAAGAAATGAAGAAATAAAGCAGGAAGGGGACAGGGTAGCATGGGATGGGCAGGAAAAATGGTGTAACCAGTTTATTGGTAGTGAAGCAGTGTGTGCCATTATTTTGTACTCTTTCTGTAAGGAGTTATCACTTGTTTTGCTCCAGTTAGTGCACAGAGCCCTGGTCAGAGCAGATACTGGCAAAACTTCAGTCCCAGCCCTTCCTGTGGCTGCTTCCTCCCCAGGGAGGAGACACCTTGTACACCTTGTGTTATGTAGGGTGATAGATCTCGGCAGCTAGAACATGTGTGTTGCTATTTGGATTTCTGTTCCTTGTGTTTCAGGCATCTGGTGTTGAAGGCTCAGATATTCCTGATGATGGCAAACTCATAGGATTTGCACAGCTCAGCATCAGCTAAACAATGGTCCCAGGAGATGTTTCCCAACCGAGAACCCACATGTGCATATTCGTAATGCTTCTGTTAGCCTAAAAGAGAAAAAAAAAAAAACCACTACTGCCAAAGAATTGAACTACAGCCCCCTTCCTAGAAGCTTTAACATTTTCCTTAATAGGATCACAAACCTTCCTGAAATTACCGATGGCGTTTACATCTTTTGTAAACAACTCTCATGTTTTTGTATCTGTCATCTCAAACATGCAGATCCAACATGTCATTGCCTGCATGTTCATTTTATTATTGCCTTACTTTAAAGAAAAATACTACTGAGTACGAAGCAGGGGGTTCCACTGCTCTGATGATCTTGCCTAAATGTTTGCTTACATGTGGTTTCATTTTTTTCACTTGCTGTTTTTGCACAAGTTTTAATACTGAATGGATCTTTTTTCTTTTTTTTTTTGTCCTTTACCTGTTCCTCCTATCTGAAACACCAATGTAAATGTTGCTTGGGTCACCTGGAGTGCTGAGAAATCTGCTTCTCTTTGGCTGTGTGTTTTTAAAACTTCTGGTTTGAATGCTTGCATCTGAGAAAGCAAGCCAAGTCTTAACCCACAGGAGGGAGAGACATCTTCCCTTGTGTTTGTGTTTTTGAGAAGTTCCTTGACTTTGAGGTGTTAGAAGTCAGCTTCCCTTTGTAAACTGCCTTAATTTTATTTCATTTTATTTTATTTTGTATCATTTTGGTTCTCTCCACATGAGTGCCAGGCGTGGCATGAGGGCTGAACCTTTCAATTTGTGTTAAAGCAGTCCTTCAACAAAATGTCTTTCATTTTGCATCTTAGATGTAGTCTGTTCTTGAAGCAGACCCATGAGGCATTGCTGTCCAGAAACTGGCCTTTCGGATGATCAACAAAGTATTTGTGATCAGAGGGAGAGGAGATGTGTGTCACTCTGTGTTTGGAAACAATGCACTTCAGCCTGTTTCTGAAGCCCAGTCTGTTATGCCTGGCTGCGTGAGTCCTCCCGACGTGTCTCCCAGTCCTTTGCAAACTGGTACCCGTGGAACCATCCCTGTCGTGTTTTACAGCAATAAAGAATCGCCAGTAGAGTGGTAGTACTGGGCAAGCGAGTGCCGGGCTGTGTCCCTCCTGCACTAGTCGCTCAGGTCGTCGGTCCGAGCCTCCACATTTGATCAGGATGTCACTGCAACCCTGTCACACACGTATTTAGCTTTTCTTTCTATGTGGTGTTGAAGTTGAGTTTCTACATGAATAGTATAAATTATACTCCGAGTTTGATAAGAGACACTTGTAATGCAATATGTGAATAATAAATGGTGTTGACTTTTTTTCCTACTGTTTCACAGTTGGCCTTTGTAACTGCTATTGGCTCTGGAGTGTTTTCTACACAGAAATTGCAAGTCTGTAATTTAGCACGCAGATGGAAACGTGTTTTGTTTCCATCAGCCACAAACAATGCAGAAACAGCAGAATGACTGAGTTCAATTAGGACTTTTTTATTTCCAAGTCTTCAGATGAACAATCTGTATTTATATATTGTTCTTTATGAGCAGCTGTGGAAGCTTCCCGAATTATGCATGTTCTTTTTATACTGCCCTTGATGCTTTTAGCCTCTAGGTGGATATTGGGTATGTCCCCATGGGCCATTTGCAGCCCTGTGGCTGGTGAGTGTGAAGGGGAGGGAGAGGAGAAAGAGGGTTTAGGAGTTGAGAGCATGTCAGGGTGCTGAGCAGATGTTCTCCAGAGCCCAGGAAGTGGGTGCCTCATACCAGGGAGTTGGTGGTAGCTGAGTTTGCCCAAGTGTGTGCTTGCACATGCGTGTGGCGCCTCTGGTGCTTCCTCCTGTTGTCTGACACAAAAGGCTCCCTGTGGTGTCCCCCATCGAGCTTCTTGGCTTGGGAAGAGCAGGCTGGCCTCTTGTCACCCTGTGCTCAGTACAGGTGTATTGGAAAGCCTTAGGATATGGGGATGAGGTAGTCTTGGTACAGTATTATTTTCCCTTCTCTCTGCATGCCATGGGGACCTCTTTCATTCGTGTACTGGTGCTGAGAAAGGTAGAGCTCAAACTGGTCAAATGGAACAATGCAGTGTCTATTTATTTATTCCCCACCTTCCCAAAGCCAGGACCTTTAAGAGCTTGAGGTCACCCTAACCTAAGGCTCCTTGATTCTTCAGTGGAGAAAATAAGGAAGAAACATGGTTTTTGCTTTATAGATCTCCAGATGTTTTGGGATAAGGATCCAAAATATTTACTTGGGCTATTACAGTGCTAGACAACTGTCTTTTCTGATGTTGTTCCAGTAAGTGCCAATGCTGTTCATAATTGTTTTCCAGTGTCATTAAGAATTTGGTTTTTGTGCAAATTTCTGATCTGAACCTGAAATCAGGTGGTAATTTTAAGTTAGTTCCTACTTTGAAGGACAATGTTAATGAAAATGGATCCTCTTCACAACTTTGATGTATTGTAGATTATAATGAAAGATGTAAAATATTCAGGCTTTTTTCCTTTTTTGGACTTTGTATTTTACTGCATGTCTCTAATTTTTAATCAATAAAGAACAAATTGTCCATTGCCATGTGTTTGGTGTGTGGTTTATGTGTCATTGGGTCGGATGGTGCATGTTGGGAAGGGGTTTGTTTCAGGGGCGTCTGCTACGCCTGCAGCATTTCTGTTTTGGCTGGTGGAAGGTTTGAGAGCCCATGGGAAGACAGGGTGAGCATGTTCTATAGGAGTTGTGTGCAGAAATGGAGCCAGGATGGCACCTGGGGTTGTACCCTGAGGGCTTGCCTTCATTTGAAAGGTTTGCTGCAAGGTCTTTGTGCCCTGTGCAGCTGGAAATGTGCTTTCCCTGTCCAGGAATGCCTCAGGGTGACATAGCCTGGTATTAAAGTGGGATGATTTATACTCTGGAAAGCATTTGGAGCGTGAGCTGCACTCCCTCCTCTCCACCTCCACAATGCTTCCTCTTCCTGAATTTGAGGCTTCAGGGCAGATCTGATCCAGAGGTGTCCCTGAGGTCTCTCATTACATTTGTAATGCAGCCAGGACTTCCAGAAAACTCACTTGTGTGAGAGGTAGAGCCCAGGCATGTCCCCAGCTCTTGTCATCCGGGCAGCTCTTTAGCTGTAGCTCAGCAATTCCTCTCTAAGCACCAGTATCCCCTGCTGCAGCTTACTTGTGTGTCAGTGGTTGTGCCTTGGGTTGTGAGAGCAAAGAGGTACCTGAAGTGAAAGGTCTTGCCCAAGTGTGGTGAGACTGGTGGCACACTGTCAGCAAACCTCTTGCCATGGGATTGGAAATACTTCTGTGACCTGGCACTGGCCGCTACTGTGAAGATGGAGGAGACCACAAAGATGCCCTGAGGCCTGGAGCACCTCTCCTTTGAAGACAGGCTGAGAGAGCTGGGCTTGTTCAGCCTGGAGAAGAGAAGGATCCAGTGAGACCTTAGGGCAGCTTCCAGTGCCTAAAGGGGCCAACAAGAAAGCTGGAGAGGGACTTTTGACAAGGGCATGTACTGATAGGACAAGGGGGAATGGCTTTAAACTGACAGAGGGGAGATTTAGGTTAGATCTAAAGCAGAAGTTCTTCCCTGTGAGGGTGGTGAGGCCCTGGCACAGATTACCCAGAGAAACTGTGGCTGCCCCATCCCTGGCAGTGTTCAAGGCCAGGTTGGATGGGGCTTGGAGCAACCTGGTCTAGTGGAAGCTGTCACTGCCTGTGGCAGGGGGGTTGGAACAAGGTGAGCCTTGAGGTCCCTTCCAACCCAAACCATTCTGTGATTGTATCTCCCCCCAGCTGCTGAGTTTCCAGCTGGAGAGGAACTTCCCCTGGATGGTGTGTGCCTCTTGAAATTTGTTTCACTTAATGGGAATGCAGTGTGAGTACAAATCCCAACCCAGAGCGTTGCTTTGTCTTCATATTTGCATATCCATGACTGCCTATTGCTGCAGGGCTTATCTTGGGTTTAGGTATGGGATTCAGCCCCAGGGAAGCTTGTCTCTGCAGATACAGCTGCCAGGGTCAGGCACGGGAGAGATATTAAATGATTTGGTGGCATCCCATGCATGGCTTGCCTGTGGTTGTACAGGGAAGCTGCAGAAGCTGAAGGAAATGGAGACCCCTGTCACCTGGAACCACAGCCGACTGGTTGCTTTTCCTCATCTGCAGCTCTGCTTGTCCATTAGCATCACTCCCTTTATTCCCTTGGAAGTTTCCCAGCTCTTCATCGCGCTGGGCTGTTTCAGTCTCTCTGAACCTTGCTTTCCCGAGTGGAACTGCTGGGGACTGTCTCAGTGATTCAGCAAACGCAGTGCTCACAGCTGCTTTGGAGATGAGGTTTTTTTTTTTCCTGTCAATGACACCAGGCCCTGGAAGGCAGGCAGGTTCATGAAACAGGGGTCCTTCTGCTCCAGCCAGCACCCTATGCTTGTGGGTGGCACAGAGATGATTAATGTATTACATGGTGTACTTAGGACAGGTGAAACATCAGGCATTAACTCTGTCCTGACTTCACATATTTGTGGTGGCTGCCTACGACTTCAGGGCTTATCTTAGGTTTAAACATTAATTCCAGCCCTGTGGACAGTCTGTTCCAGCACTGTCCTGTTCCAGATACAGCTTCCAATGTCGGGCGTCGGGGAGATTTTGAAAGCAGTTGGTGATTTTGGGCCATTTCAGAAATGGCTGGTGCTGCTCACCTTGCTTCCATGCTTCACTCTGTCTTTCCACCAGTTTTGCCAGCTTTTTATGGTTCCCCATGAGCCTCATCACTGCAACACCAGCTGGATCTGTGCCATTGGCCCCAACCTGACAGAGGAAGAGCAGCTGAACCTCACCCTGCCCCGGGATGCGGATGGGGCATACGAGCAGTGCTCCATGTACTCGCCGGTGGACTGGGACCTCGACTCCATTGTGGCTTATGGCCTGAATGCCACAGAGAAGTGCAGCAGTGGCTGGGTGTACCCCTCAGCACAAGCACCGTCCCTGCTGACCGAGGTCTGTAATCACCTTTTGATGTGCCGGGAATGTGGAGGGGGTGAGAGAGTTGCCCTGTCCTGCAGTTCGGTCAAATCTGGTGCTGGGCTGAGATGAACATCGGGTGTATTTTGGGGACCTTGGCTCCACCACCCAGCCCCCTGTTGTGGTCCTGGAGTAGTTGCAGGCAAGCAGGCTGTGATATAGGTATCAGCAGAGCCACAGGCAGAGAGTAATCATTCTCTGCCTGTGGCTCATTACAGGGTGGAGAGAATAATCATTCCTGGTGGGACTTTCTGGGTCTCCTTGCTCCACATGCCTCTCTGCAGATAGAGGTAACCTTCCAACTTGTCCCTGTGCACAGCTTTGTGCTTCAGATGCTGGCCAGGGGAAGGAGGCAGAGCTCAGCGCTTAGTTTCTGCTCCCACGCAGGCTGGGGAGCTGTGATGGTGAGCAGCGGTGGGGTGCCTGCCTCAGGACCTCTGCATCATGATTCCAGCTCAGGCTGTTTGTTGCAAACAGCACGAGTTCCTCACTGCTCCTGGTGTGGAGGTACCAGGTTCAACACGGACAGGAAAGCTTGTGAAGCCACACATCTAACATGCAACAGGAGCTTCAGCAACAGTGCTCCAGTGAGCAGTGCTGAGCTTCTTCCTGTGCTTTCTGACCTCTCTTGTACTTCCTATACATGATCTCTCCTATGTGACTCTATAGATGCCCTCTGGGTCCTGGTGGTTGCAGAGCATCCCTCTGACAGAAACTGTTTGGCCCAGGAGTCAGTGCTGTACCCATCCCTTCTCCTCTGGGAGGGCAGGCACTCCAGGAGAAGAAGGAAGCTGCTGGGACTTCTGTCCCAGGTCCCACTTACGCAAAATTTGCCAACCAGGAGGCTCCCCTGGGGGAGCCTCGGCTGGAGGGGAGTCCTGCAAGTCCTGGTTCTTGGGAGAGGGGCACCACTGAGAGCCCCATGGGCTTGTCCCACCACTGACCTGTGTCCTATGGACATACAATGAGCACTCACATCCTTGGAGGGAGCATCAGAAAGCACCTGCAGCCTGTTGAGATCAAAGCATCTGTGTTTCCTTCCTCCAGTTTGACCTGGTGTGCGACAGGAAGGACCTGAATGACATCTCCCAGTCCATCTACATGCTGGGGATGTTCCTAGGATCCATGATCTTTGGGCCACTGAGTGACAGGTGAGGAAACACAGCCACAGCAAAGGTCCAGGGACTGTGTAGAGCCAGCATGCTGCTCTGAGCCTTTCTGGGCACTGCACCCTGTGTGTTTTGTCACTGCTCCTCACTCACAGGGACCCTGACCAAAGCCCTGAGGTCCTGTGAGGGCATGGCCACACAGGAGTTAGAAGGGAGAAAGGCACAGTGTGTGTGCAGGGTGCTTCACATCGCAACCCAGAGTCTAGTCTAAGTGAGCCCTATCACCAGTCACAGTGTAACCCATTGGGCTCTTCTTTATCTCCATGGGGCCTCTCCAGATATCGACTGTGTCTTCCCTCTTCCTCTCCAGGATGGGCCGCCGGACAGTCATTCTGATCTCCATGTTTCTCCAGGGCTTGTTTGGGGTAGCAATCGCCTTTGTACCCCATTTCGATGTGTACATGGCCTTCAGATGTGTCGTGGGGGCTTCAGTGGCAGGGATCACCATGACGATGCTGTCCTTGGGTGAGTAGGATGCTCATGCGCTGAGGCAGACAGATGTGGCCTCAAGACGTGATAGGAAAGCTCTGTAAAGAAATAAATATCATCATGTATGACTTGAAAAACACTGCTATGAGGACAGGTCTTTCTCTGCACTATATTTGGCACTTTGGCATCTCCTTAACCCTAAGTGAGAGCCATAGGGAGCATGTCTCCCATGCCAGTGCTCAGAGTGCGGCAAGGGGACAGTCTCCCAGTTCAGGAGGTCAGTGCAGCGAGAGAGCACAGTGGCTGTGGAACATGATGGGTTTGGGCCCCAGGCCTGCTTCAGTGAGCAGTTCTGTGGATATTAAGAGCAAAGAGGGGAAGTACTTGCGCTTCATGTCCTCCTGCCGAGGACCAGAACACCCTGATAATAAGGAGAGGTGGTGCATCTTACAAAGCAAAGGTGACTTGCATGTGTGACTAATGCCAGAGCTCTGACTGCTGGTCTCCTGTCCTTACCTTCATGGGAGCTCTTCTCCAAGGGAGGAGTTTACACAGGGAAAGTCATTTGCATGGATGACCCTGAACTTTTGTTCTTCTTCTCAGCTACAGAATGGGTCGGTGTTTCACACCGGCCAAAGGCAGTGCTTACTTCTCATTGTTGCTTCGCCATCGGTCAGATGATTTTGGCTGGCTTGAGTTACGGTATTCACAACTGGAGGCTGCTGCAGATTGCAGGATCTGCTCCTGTGTTTGCTCTTTTCTTCTACATCTGGTAAGCAGGAGCAGGGCAGAACTTCCTGAAGACATGAGAGCAGCAGGTGTGAAGGGTGGCAGTGAGGAGGTATCAGCTCAGGAGCAGGCTGGGTCTTCCCCATTAGAGTATAGGTGATGAAGGGACTTCTGCAGACCTCAGCACATCTCCTTGGAACACTGGACCTCTGAGAGCAGCAGCTGCTTTGCTGCAGGCCCTCAAATATGGCCTTTGAAGCCTAAAGGTAGAGTACGTAATGCTCATTGCTTGCAGGATGTGGTAACAGGGAGGTGGGCTGTGGGAAAACCCAGCAGGTCTCAGCAGCATCTCTGCATTTCATCCCCTTGGCAGGGTGCTCCCAGAATCCGCTCGGTGGCTGGTGATAAAAGGCAGGATAGAAGAAGCTAAGAAGGTCCTTCAGAAGGCAGCATCCATCAACAAGCGCACCCTCCCACCGGAGCTCCTGGAGCAGGTACCTGCAGGGGCTGCAGAGCTGCTTTCCTCTGCGCTTGTGTTTGTAGCAACCCTGGACACCCTTCCATGTTTATGCCGTGGACACCCTTCCATGGCCACTGGAGATGATTTGGGGATGGATGGGGGTGACTCCAGCTTCAGCTGCGCTGCACCAAGACAAGGCTGGGGAAGAGGCTCAGCTGCTGTTGGTGACGAGCACGAGGTCTCTGTTCAGTCTGTGGTTTCCCATGCACAAATGCCCGAAGGGGGTCACCTCCTTGCCCACCCCAAAGCCCTGCACTTCAGAGATGTTCGTGCCCAGGAACCTCTTGCTCACCAAAGCAGTGCACTGGGCACGCAGAGCACAGGCACAGGAGCCCAGCCCCAGTGAGCCTCCTGCCCTCCCAGAGCAGATCAGGGTCACAGGCGTGTCCCACTGGGGCTTTCCTTTGGCTGCAGATGGAGAGGAGCCCGCCAGGGGTTTCCTCTGCCTGCTCTGACTCTGCCTTTCTGCATCTGGCAGCTGAAGCCCGAGGCTCAGCCCAAGCCTGGAAGCACTCTGGATCTCTTTCGGAAGAAGCACCTGCGGAAGGTGACTTTAATCATGACCTGCACCTGGTAAGATGTGTCCTGGTCCCCTCTTCCCAAGCTTCTAGGGAAAGGAAAGCAGTGATTGAAGGTTACTGATAATTGCAATTTCTCCTTGTGGTTTTTTTGGGTGTTATTGGTGGTTTTTTCTGTTTCTGGCTATTCAAGATGCTGTGTTGTTTGTGGGAAAGGTTAGAGCCATTCCAGCTTTGGCAGTCCTGTGGTATTTTAGTTTTATGTCCCCTTGCAAATGCCATGGCTTAGTCAAAATGTCGTCATTGAACATCACTATTGTATTTGCTCATGGCCAATAGATATGCTCAGTGCCACCCTGCCTGGCTTTCAGGTTTGTGAGCAGCCTTGTCTACTACGGGCTGAGTCTGAACGTGACAAACTTTGGTCTGGACATCTACCTGACACAGCTTGCCTTTGGAGCAGTGGAAATCCCTGCCCGTGTTGGTTGTATCTTCACGCTGCAGTGGTTCGGGAGGAAGAAAACCCAGGCTGTTCTCCTGATACTGAGTGGCCTCATGTGTCTGGTCATCATTGGCATCCCTGAAGGTGAATGACCTCTTTCCACCTGAGAGGACAACCTCTGGGACAGGGTGGCACAGAGCTCCAGTCCTTTCCTTGCTGGTGCAGGTCCTGTCCTCCCAACCAGACTGACTCACCTCTCTCAGGGTTTGAGCTGTCTCTGGTGCCACGGCCACAAGTGACTTGGTTCACTCACCAGAGCCCACTGTGGTCAGCAAACTTTTACTGACAATTGTGACAGGAGAAGGCAGAGCTGGGGCCAGTAGACCCCTTATTAGCACAGTTGTCCGCTGGGAAAATGAACATGTGGGGAGGTGAGCTGATGGATGCAAAGTGAGCTGAAGGTGGCATAGGCCAGAGCTGCTCCTCAGACCATGCTCAGGTTTTGTCAGAGGTGATGGCTCTCTACAAGTGATGCAGTTGTTGCCACACATTTCCAAATCTCCAGCCCTGAGTGGTGCTGGGACCTCCATCATCCCACAGCAGCGTTCTCTCCTCCTCCCTTCAGACCAGCCCGTGGTGACCACCGTCCTGGCCACCATCGGCAAGTTTACAGCCACGGCCTCCTTCTCCACTTCCTACATCTACTCCGCAGAGCTCTTCCCCACGGTCATCAGGTGAGGTCTCCCCATGCACCAGAGCTTCCCCCTGCCATGGCTGGTGGCAGTGCCCACTTGTCTCCATGGCTGCACTCAGCCCATGGTGCCCCCTGCCCGCCCCCCGCACTGCCCCTCGCTCCCCAGGCAGACTGGTGTGGGGCTGTGCTCGATGTCGGCGCGGCTGGCAGGGATCATGGCACCCTTGATGCTGCTGATGGAGCGGTACCACCGGGCCATCCCCATGGCCGTCTTTGGCAGTGTCACTGTGGTGGTGGGGCTGCTCTGCTTCCTGCTGCCCGAGACCCGCGGCACTGACCTGGCGGATGACACAAGGGATGGCTGCCCCCCAGCCCAGGTGAGGACCCGGTGGTGCCGGTGCTGCCTTTTGGGCAAGGATGTGGGGCACCAGTGCTGTGGGTTTCTTTGAGGCTTACAGTGGTGGGAGGGCAGAGAGTGGGGCTGCCCCACTGTGGAGAGAGGGATGGGGGCCCTATAACCCTGCCCATGATGGTCACCCCTTCATCCCTGTCCATGGGGTGGAAAGACTCCAGGAATGGCTGGTTTTTCGCTTGCCTCCCTCTGCCCTCTCCAGGGAAGGGTTTGGTGCCTTATAGCCATGTTCTCTGGCTTTTGTACTCCCGTATCTCCCAGCCTCCCTTCCCCATGGGACTGAGTGGAATTGCATCCCAATACTTTTGCTATACTGCTGGGAGAAGGGTGCCAACAGGGGCACAGAGCCTGTGGTCAGTGGGAAGCCAGGTTGCTAAGGGCTGCGTGTCTCAGAGAAGGCTGCCATCAGCTCAGAATGGGTCTTTCTTTGCTTTTAAACTCTTTTCCCTTTCATTAGGTCTGTGAAAATGCCAACAGCAGCTCTGAAAATGGGCATGTGAAAGGAAAAGGTGGTGGCCAAGACAATGAGCACACAAAGAGCACTCAGTTCTAGCTGGGCCTGCAAGCGGCTCTGGCTGAAGGCAACTAGTGCTGTGCCAGCACCGGGGACAGGCAGGGTCTCCGTTTGCAGGACACCACCACCTCTCAAGTGATCACTGCCAATTCTTGTCTTTCCTTTCCTTTTTGCTTTCTTGCCTCTCCCCCTATGGCTTGTTCTCAGGCACTGTGTGCTCTCTGGTGTTCTACAGTGCTGTTGCTGGAGAAAATCTGATGCTTTTCATGTAAGGGTGTGTGGGTTTTGTCTAGGATAGAGTTTGTTTTCTTCATAGTATCTGGTATGGGGCTGTGATTTGGATCTGTGCTGGATAACGCAGGGATGTGTTTGTTACTGCTGAGCAGTGCTTGCACAGAGCCAAGGCCTTTCCTGCTCCTCACCCCACCAGTGAGCAGGCTGGAGGTGCACAAGGGGTTGGGAGGGGACACAGCTGGGACAGCTGTGGCCATGGTTATGTCAGTGCCACAGCAGGTACATGTCTGAAGGGAATGTAGCCCAAGGATAGGTCCATGCTGGAGAAGGTACACATTGAAGCATCTCTGGCTGTGGGTAAGTCCATGCTGCAGCAGGCACACCTTTAAGCATTTGTGGCTGTGCATGAGGTCATGTTGGAGCACATCAAAGTATGGGACATGGATAATCCAATGGCAGGGAGGGACTGTAGCCATGGGTAGGCCATGCTGCAGCAGGTATCTCTCTGAAGGCACTTTAGCCATGCTGGAGCAGGTGAACCTCAAAATGACTGTAGCTGTGGATAAGTCTATGCCACAGCAGGAATACCTCTGGAGAAACTGTGCCTCATTGATATAGCTTCAGTTGGAGCAGGTACACCCCTAAGGGACTGTGGTCTATGGATAAGTCACAGCTGCATCAGGGGCGAGGAAAGGAATTCATTGCAATATTATGGTGTGGTCCAAAGGGTCCAGGGTGGGGATTGTAATGGAATTACATCTAAACTGTTGTAGCCCCATATTTGAGATGTGCGTTATAGGAATTACTGTAGCAGAAACCACCTGAACCTTCCATGAAGCAGTGCATGTGTGGCAGTGACCTGAACCTGGGCTGTCTTTGGTGCCTAGTAACTCCATTCAACACACCACTTCTCCTGTCCTTATGAGTGACCACCATAACAGATGGAGCCCAAAGTCATGGACTGCATGAACTCAATGGACCTTTTGTGGACATTTCTGGACATTTTATGAGGGTGGTCACCATCAGGCATGTGTTCTCCCAAGTAATCATTAGGTGTGATGGAGCCCTGCTCTCCTGGGAATGGCTGAACACCCGCCTGATGATGGGAAGTGGTGAATGAATTCCTTGTTTTGCTTTTCTTGTCTTCACAGCTTTTGCTTTACTATTAAACTGTCTGTGTCTCAACCCATGAGTTTTCTCACTTCTGTTATTCTGATTCTTTTCCCCATCCCACCAGAGGGGAGTGAGCGAGTGGCTGTGTGAGGCTGAGTTGCCAGCTGGGGTTAAACCGTGACAAAGGGCAAAAAGAAAGCAAATGGGGTAGAGGCATCATTGTCTCTTCCTTTTTCCTGTCCTGTCTTCAAGAATGTGAGGCTCTGATCCTTGTCCAAGTGAGACACCTGCTCGGGGACTGAAAAGACTTGCAGCAGGGTACTGTGCTCACAGAGGAGAAAGCCAGAGCAGATACAACACTGAAAACAATCTCACACTTGCAAGAGGGAGTGATTTCTCTTCAGTGTCTAGCATTTTGCCCAAGGGCACTGTTTCCTTGGAGAAGGCTGTGGGCTGCTTCCTTCTGGTTTTTATAGAAAATAAGGCATTCAGGGTAAAGGCTGCGGGAAGATGTCCTGGGTTCAGCAGTAGCAGTCATTTTTTTCTCCTTCTTAGTAGCTGGTGAAGTGCTGTGTTTTTGACTCTCAGCCTGAGAACAGTGCTGACAACACTGATGTTTTTAGTTGCTGCTCAGTAATGTTTACTCTGACCAAGGACTTTGTGAGTCTCATGCTCTGCCAGGGAAGAGGGGAAGCCAGAAGGAAGCAGAGACAGGACACCTGACCCAAACTAGCCAAAGAGGTATTCCATATCACAGCACATCATGCCCAGGATGTAAAACTGGGGGCAGTTACCCAGAAGGGCTAGTTCACTGCTCAGTGGAGAGGGGTATCGGTCAGCGGGTGGTGAGCGGTTGTATTCTCTTCCCTTGTCATTATTTGTGTTGGTGGTAGCAGTAGTGATTTGTGTTATACCTTAGTTACTGGGCTGTACTGATCTCAACCCATGGGAGTTACATTCTTTTGATTCCCCATCCCTCCAAGAATGGGGGGAGGAAAGGGGGGAGTGAGTGAGAGGCTGCATGGTTCTGAATTACTGGCTGGGCTTAAACCACGACAGAAGAGATTGGAGCAAAATGCTCCAAGATATTGAGTGAACCACAACTCCTTTGGGGAGGTCTGCTCTGATGCTGTTTCAGCCAGCTTCATAAATAAAGGTGTCCAATCACATCTGAGGTACTTCTGCTTCCACCTCATTTGTGCCACCAGCAGAAGGAAGATCCATTTCATCTTCTCTTTTTAGACCACTTCACCTGATCAGTTTGAAGACCACTTTTGGCTGAGGAGTACCTGAATAGTACAAAACACATGACTGTTTTGACTTACGACTGTTTTGACCTGCTCAGCAGAAATGGGAGGTTGTTCAATGGTTTTACCTTGTCTTATTGTTGCTGCTACCTGGCCCACACATGGTCTTGCACTGTAATAAATAGTGCTCACAACAGAGTTGATCTAGGTGTGGTGGCATAGCATGTGAGAATGCAAACACAATTTTGCATACATACAATGGGATGTTTTGGGCTTTTATCATGTTGAGGTTATGGACAAAGGGTAAAAAGTGCCTTAGGTGACCTGAAAGGATAACTAAGGGAAAGAGGGCGACTCTATAGCCCAGGGGAGGGAGACAAAAGGTTGAAGAGAAGGTGAGGACAAAAGAGGGTAACAAGATTTAACTGGGAAATTCAGATGCAAGACCTTACTGAAGTGGCTTACCAAGCCACGACTAGAGAGCCAGTTGTGGGAAGGTGCTGAAGTGGTGAGCAAATGCCAGGGGCACTGTGAAGGGTTTGCTAAAGCATATCAGTAAATATCCAAGTCTTCTTCAGGCCCTCCTATATCATACATAGGAGTGAGGCCCTGCTCCTGCATTTACACCCTCACTGATATTTGTCTGTGTTCAGGTCATAACTTCTCGACCTCCTTGGAGGAGACCCAGGTTCTATGATTCTATGTATCACAACATCCCCCACTGATGAAGAAGCTGGTCAGGTGGGGCCAGAGGTATTTAGTGACATTTTAAGGCATGGAGGGGCAGCAGAGCCTGGCCTGGGCTGGCCTGGCCCTGTTCCCTGAGGTGAGGACCTATGGAGTGAAAGAGCTCTTCCTGTTGCCAGAGGAACCCCACGGGGACCACTGAGACAATCAGCGCATCCTTGGTGACAGTGACATCAATAAACCATGCTGCAACCCTAATTTCTGGATGTCAGATAATGTCCTGGACCTTGCATCTTGACTGGAGGACATCATTGTCCTCTTATTCCTCATGCTCAAGAGCAAAGCTTGCAGGAAGCGATCCAGCAGCGAATGGTTGAGGAGGTGAGGAGAAGCAGCATTAATGCTCATTTCTTGACTCTGCAATGAATCATGGACTTGTAGAGTCATGGAATCATTCAGGTTGGAAAAGACCTTTAAGATCATTGGGTCCAGCCATTAACCTAACATGCCCAAGTCCAGCATTAGACCCTGTCCCTAAGTGCCCCATCTACATGTCTTTTAAATACCTTCATGGATGGTGACTTCACCACCACCCTGGGAAGCCTGTTCCAGTGCTTGACAACACTTTCGTTTAAGGAATTTTTCCTTATATCCAATCTGACTTTCCCTGGCACAACCAGGGGCTGTTTGCTCTTGTCCTATCACTTGTTACTGACACCCAACTTGCTACAACCACCTTTCAGGCAGTTGTAGAGAGTGACAAAGTCTCCTCTGAGACTCCTTTTCTCCAGGCTAAACAACCCCAGTTCCCTCAGCTCCCCTTATAAGACTTGTGTTCCAGACCTTTCACCAGCTTCTTTGCCCTTCAGCACCAAAGCCCAGATCCTACAAATGCCCTGCCCTATCTACAGCCACAGACAGGTATTATGTAACATTGGAGAGATTTTGTGCACCGCAGACAAAACACAAAATGAGTATCATCACCTCCAAGCATGCTTGGCCTGCACTTGGGACTCCCCAGCCTTCAAACCACCATTTACTATAGCACAAAGCAGTCAGAAACAAAAAGGTGCTACAAACCTGAGTGACCAGCCTTCTTCTTTGACCAAGAGTAGTGCTGTGGTTTGAAGAGATAGCTGCATGAAAAGGTGCCAAATATATTCTCTGCTTGCAGACAAGTAAGGCAGGAGAGGAAGCCAAGCTTCTTTTGTGTGACACTGGATGACATGGTGGTGTAAACTACTGTGGGTGAATGGGTAGCAACCAACCAAGGTCACTGTTAAAGGCTGACCGTGACTGGGAAGAGTAGTCCAGATGTCCACTCAGTTTAACTGTGTCGTGGTTTAAACCCAGCTGGCAACTAAGAATTGCAGCGTACACCACACAATTTGGGAAGCTTCCACAGCTGCTGGTAGAGAAAAGCAATATAAATCATCCATCTGAAGACTTGGAAATAAAAAAGTCCTAATTGAACTCAGTCATTCTGCTCTGTTTCTGCATTGTTTGTGGCTGATGGAAACAAAACACGTTTCCATCTGCGTGCTAAATTACAGACTTGCAATTTCTGTGTAGAAAACACTCCAGAGCCAATAGCAGTTACAAAGGCCAACTGTGAAACAGTAGGAAAAAAAGTCAACACCATTTATTATTCACATATTGCATTACAAGTGTCTCTTATCAAACTCGGAGTATAATTTATACTATTCATGTAGAAACTCAACTTCAACACCACATAGAAAGAAAAGCTAAATACGTGTGTGACAGGGTTGCAGTGACATCCTGATCAAATGTGGAGGCTCGGACCGACGACCCGAGCGACTAGTGCAGGAGGGACACAGCCCGGCACTCGCTTGCCCAGTACTACCACTCTACTGGCGATTCTTTATTGCTGTAAAACACGACAGGGATGGTTCCACGGGTACCAGTTTGCAAAGGACTGGGAGACACATCGGGAGGACTCACGCAGCCAGGCATAACAGACTGGGCTTCAGAAACAGGCTGAAGTGCATTGTTTCCAAACACAGAGTGACACACATCTCCTCTCCCTCTGATCACAAATACTTTGTTGATCATCTGAAAGGCCAGTTTCTGGACAGCAATGCCTCATAGGTCTGCTTCGAGAAAGATTGGATTAGACAAGACCTTTAGTATGTGCCTGTCCATTCATCACTTGCTCTCCGAGAACTTGTAGTTGTTCTTCTCCAAGTCTGCTCCAGCCTTGGTGGTGTCTGTCTTGGACAAAGTTTCCAGACTCCTGTTACTGAAGACAAGAAGGAGAGAGGAAGAGATGATGTGGTTTCCATCCTGGTTTCTGACCTATTTCCTTTGCCTTAAATGTGCACCTCTGGCCTTACAGTCAGAGCTCCAAGTACCCACCTCATCTGGGGAGTTGCCCCCTTGATATCCTCCAGCCCCATGTCATCCGCCAGGTCAGTGCCACGGGTCTCTGGCAGCAGGAAGCAGAGCAGCCCCACCACCACGGAGACACTGCCGAAGACGGCCATGGGGATGGCCTGGTGGTACTGCTTCAGCAGCAGCATCAAGGGCGCCATGATCCCCGATAGCCGTGCCGACATCGAGCACAGCCCCACACCGGTCTGCCTGGGGAGCGAGGGGCAGTGCAAGGGGAGGGCAGGGGGCACCATGGGCTCAGCCATGGGAACAAGTGGGCACTGCCACCAGCCATGGCAGGGGGAGGCTCTGGTGCATGGGGAAACCTCACCTGATGACCGTGGGGAAGAGCTCTGCGGAGTAGACATAAGAGGTGGAGAAGGCGGCTGTGGCTGTAAGCTTGCCGATGGTGGCCAGGACGGTGGTCACCACGGGCTGGTCTGAAGGGAGGAGGAGAGACCTACATTGTGATCTCCATGGATAAGGTTTGGTTGGGAAGAAAATTCTCTGCAGTGGGATTTATTAGGGCAGCCCTTTCTAATGGGCTTACCAAGCAAATCTACCACCTAACCCATTGAAAATCATTCCTAGCACACCCTTATCTGGAAAGTACCATTTGCACAACTGACAAAGAGAATCCTGACAATGGGAATTTTCTAAATCTGCAACTGAATTAAGCCACTGAGCGACTACAGGTCTTCAGGGAGTGCTCAGTTGGAAATATCACATTCATGAGATTTAAAGCATAATACAGCCCCTCTCTTTCCTTCAGCATTATTCACAGCGCTAGCACAGCAACAAGGGTGAGGGTATAGAATGTGGCAATGTGTAGGCAGAAACAGGTAAGGGTGAGGGGGGCATTTGCTTTCATCTTTGTCTAAAGAAGGGAGACATGGTGGCTTTTAAAACTCCTCCTCTGCTACAGCCTCCTGAGAGGAAGTGGTAGTGTCTATAGTGGTTGGCGGTGTATAATGGACGCTGCCTGCCAAGGGCCAGGAGCTGTGGAAGGACTAGGCATAGCTCTGAAGGAAGAGAAAGCCATGCAGAGAGGAAGCCAGCACACTGGGGGCTCAGCCCCTGTTAGTGATTGTGGGTCTGTGGCCAGCCGGGCTGGGAAGATGGATCTGAACCAGGACAGAGCTGGCTGGGGCTCTGCCTGGCTGTGCTCTTGGGAAGTGAAGAAGTTGTTCACCTTCAGGGATGCCAGTGATGACGAGACACATCAGGCCAGACAGCAGCAGGAGAACGGCCTGGGTTTTGTTCCTCCCAAACCACTGCAGCAGGAAAATGCAGGAAACTCGAGCTGGTAACTCTACCCCTCCAAAGGCAAGCTGTGTCAGGTAGACGTTCAGACCAAAACCTGACACATTAAGGCTCAGCCCATAGTAGACAAGGCTGTCTGCAAACCTGAAATTAAAGTGGAATAGAACATGTAGCCAGGTGTATTTTCTAGGGGTTTATCCTCAGAAACAAGGGGGGTCAGACCATACATAATGCATTCAAACTCCCAGAAATCTCTGTCTTCTAGTCACCATCTGTGACAATTCTGTGGGACATAATTACATGAGATAAAACAATATAGATCCCCACATGGTCAGTAACTTTTACAATGCACCCACAACTTCTGTGGGGACAGAAAAATACCCCAAGTCCTAGGGGTAGCCAAAACCTCCAGCCTTTCTCACAAAACCCACAGAATTGTGAACAATCAGCTTCTCCCCATGCCAGACGAGGTAGATCTGGTTCAGTATGGGGAGACAGAAAGACGGCAGATGAACACAAAGTCATAAATGTGACCCCAAAAATCAAATGAAGTGAATTTACAGTTCTTGTCAACCCTTAATCTCTTTTTCCCTTAGAAGCTTGGGAAGAGAGGACCAGGACACATCTTACCAGGTGCAGGTCATGATTAAAGTCACCTTCCGCAGGTGCTTCTTCCGAAAGAGATCCAGAGTGCTTCCAGGCTTGGGCTGAGCCTCGGGCTTCAGCTGCCAGATGCAGAAAGGCAGAGTCAGAGCAGGCAAAGGAAACCCCTGGCGGGCTCCTCTCCATCTGCAGCCAAAGGAAAGCCCCAGTGGGACACGCCTGTGACCCTGATCTGCTCTGGGAGGGCAGGAGGCTCACTGGGGCTGGGCTCCTGTGCCTGTGCTCTGCGTGCCCAGTGCACTGCTTTGGTGAGCAAGAGGTTCCTGGGCACGAACATCTCCGAAGTGCAGGGCTTTGGGGTGGGCAAGGAGGTGACCCCCTTCGGGCATTTGTGCATGGGAAACCACAGACTGAACAGAGACCTCGTGCTCGTCACCAACAGCAGCTGAGCCTCTTCCCCAGCCTTGTGTTGGTGCAGCGCAGCTGAAGCTGGAGTCACCCCCATCCATCCCCAAATCACCTCCAGTGGCCATGGAAGGGTGTCCACGGCATAAACATGGAAGGGTGTCCAGGGCTGCTACAAACACAAGCGCAGAGGAAAGCAGCTCTGCAGCCCCTGCAGGTACCTGCTCCAGGAGCTCCGGTGGGAGGGTGCGCTTGTTGATGGATGCTGCCTTCTGAAGGACCTTCTTAGCTTCTTCTATCCTGCCTTTTATCACCAGCCACCGAGCGGATTCTGGGAGCACCCTGCCAAGGGGATGAAATGCAGAGATGCTGCTGAGACCTGCTGGGTTTTCCCACAGCCCACCTCCCTGTTACCACATCCTGCAAGAAATGGGCATTACATGTGATGGATAGGGTCTAAACACCTTCTTGTGTCAGGTTTTCCAGGCCTACCTACATTTTGGCCCAAAATGCCATATTTGAAGACCTGAATCAAAGCAATGTTCCAAGGAGATGTGCTGAGGTCTGCAGAAGTCCCTTCATCACCTGTACTCTAATGGGGAAGACCCAGCCTGCTCCTGAGCTGATACCTCCTCACTGCCACCCTTCACACCTGCTGCTCTCATGTCTTCAGGAAGTTCTGCCCTGCTCCTGCTTACCAGATGTAGAAGAAAAGAGCAAACACAGGAGCAGATCCTGCAATCTGCAGCAGCCTCCAGTTGCGAATACCATAACCCAAGCCAGGGACAATCATCTGACCGATGGCGAAGCAGCAGTGAGTAATAAGCACTGCTTTTGACCGATGGGAGACACCGACCCATTCTGTAGCTGAGAAGAAGAACAAAAGCTTAGGGTCACCCTTTTCAAAACGTGAAGCACTCTCTTTTGTTATTGCATCTTGCGAGGCCACGTCTTTCTGCCTCAGGGCAAGAGCACCCTACTCACCCAGCGCCAAGGCAATAATCATAATTCCTGCCTCCACAGCTCCCACGACACATCTGAAGGCCATGTACACATAGAAATGAGGCACAAAGGCAGTTCCTACACCAAACAAGCCACGGATGAGCATGCAGATCAGAAATACAGGCTGACGGCCTATTCTGTGGAAGAAGAGGGGAGAGACAGTTGGCATCTAGAGAGATCCCATGGGGATGTGTGGAATACAAAGTTATTTAAGAACCATTTGCACCAGAGGAGATTTGACATCCATGTGAGCAAAACTCCTTTTATGTTCCCAGACATAACTGGCAAAAAAAAAAAACGGACATCTCTACTTTAGAACCACCGCAGTGCTAGCAAAGGCAAAGGTAATGATGTAAAAGGAACCAGCCCTTGAAGGACCCCCAAGTCCTCTCTCTTGAGAACTGAAATGGACTGTGTTGTTGGTTCCCCTATGAGGCACCCTGCACACATGCTGTGCCTTTCTCCCTTCCATGTCCCCTGTGTGTCCATGCCCTCTAAGGAGCTGAGAACTTTGGTCCAGGTCACCATAAGCTGAGCAGAGCAACAGGAAAGAGAGAAACATAGTCTGGTTGACATAGGTGTATGTGGGTCCAACTCTGTGCCAGAATTCAGGTTTCTGGGGTTCCTGGAGACACTCTTGGGTAGCTAAGACACCTGTTGGGGCTAGAAGTGTGATTCCTGAGGGATTCCCTCATAAGGCTGTATCTGCTTCCTTCCCTTTTCAGCCCTCAGACATCTACAGACATATCAGGTGGCCGCAGACACCCTTGCTCAGGCAAGGTGGGAGTAGTTCATGCTCAAGTGCATGGACATCCTGAACAGTTAACTGGCCTGTCCCTGGGTGCCAGGCAATAACTCTGAGAAGGTGTCTGTGTTTCCTTACCTGTCACTCAGTGGCCCGAAGATGATGGATCCTAGGAGAAGCCCCAGCATGTAGATGGACTGGGAGATGTCATTCAGGTCCTTCCTGTCACACACCAGGTCAAACTGGAGGAAGAAAACACAGCAGCTTTTGCTCTTGACAAATTCCAGCTGCTTTCTGAGGGTTGGCAGCCCTTCAGGTCCATGGTGGATCCAGGAGGTGGGTGCCTGAGCTCTTGCTCCAGCCCTTGGGAGCAGAGAACCCACCGACAAAGACATAAACCTCCATGGTGTTTACATAGAACACAGACCAGTGGTGGGACAAGCGTATGAGGTTCTCAGCCTGCCTCTTCATTGTGGTGCACATCTCTCGTGTGCTGGGACCTGTAGGACTCCCCTCCAGCCTGGGAATCCTCAAGGGATCTTCCTGGTTGGCAAGTTTTGCTTAAAGTATGACCTTGGGGCAAGAGTCCTGGTAGCTTTCCATCTGGCTGCTAAGGCAGGGCAGGGTGGAAGGAGGAGTGAGGGCAGTGTTGTTTTCTCTCATAAGGGAGGACTGGTGCAGGAGTGGGAAGGGATGCAACAGCTGCTGAGAAGCCTCTGAGAAGCTGGATGTGAAATGGCCACAGTGCTCCAGGGACCCCAAGGAGACTTTGTAAATGCCAGAGGCTGGCCTCTCTCCTCTGGTTTCAGCTCAGGAGAAGGAACTCGTGAGGAAATCCTGGAGCTGGGCATGAGGAAAGAAGGGAGGGAGGGAGATGAGGGAAGGTGAGACAGGAACAGATGTCCAGAGAGGGAAGAGTTGGGGATGTTGACAGACAGATCCTTTGCTCAACTGTCTGGTCTATGGAATGTCTTGTAACAGCCCTCAGTGTCTCTGAAGGCCCCAGAAATATCAATGACAAGCCCTTGGAAGGCAAATATCTTCCATGGAAAAGGTGATGTAACCAGGTCATGAAGTAAGGGAAATTGTGGCAGGGAGACTCAGAATGTCACTCCAGGCAAGATACATCATGGGTTCAAGGGCCCGGTTACTGGAAAGGGGAGGGATGGTGGGCAGAGCATGCGTTAGACTCACACCCCCATGACCTCTGCCTAAGGTCCCCCTGTGCATCTACATCATGGTCCTTCTGCAACGACCTCCCAGTTATTAAAGCTGCAGTCTGTGTGATAGAGCCAAGGTCCCCCAGTGCCTGGTGTAAATCTCAGTCTGACTGCACCATAGCTGGCATTGGCTTACCAAACTACAGGACAATATATGCCCACCCTTTCCCTTCCACATCCCCGGCACATCAAAAGGTGATTACAGACCTCGGTCAGCAGGGACGGTGCTTGTGCTGAGGGGTACACCCAGCCACTGCTGCACTTCTCTGTGGCATTCAGGCCATAAGCCACAATGGAGTCGAGGTCCCAGTCCACCGGCGAGTACATGGAGCACTGCTCGTATGCCCCATCCGCATCCCGGGGCAGGGTGAGGTTCAGCTGCTCTTCCTCTGTCAGGTTGGGGCCAATGGCACGGATCCAGCTGGTGTTGCAGTGATGAGGCTCATCCAGAACCATGAACACTTGGCCAATCATTTGGAAAGGATTAAGAAGTAGGGCGATGGAGATGAGTAGTACCAGAAATTTCTGATACAGCCCAAACTCCCCCAGAGCACTTATGAAGTCTCCAGACTCAGTCATGGTGACTACATCTGTGGACAGGCTGCACTAGGGCACATTGCTTAAATAGGCAAATATTAATGTTTAAACTATGGAAGCACTAAACCCCTAATCAGGTGTGATAAATTTAGCACTTGTATCAACACATTTATCTGCTAAGATGGTACACTGCAGTCTTCCTGGGTGTACTTTGTCACCAGCCCTTCCCTCCCTGTTCTTGATGTTAGAACAAAGGTACCAGAGCATTGCCAGTCTTGCGAGCAGCACGGGGACAGCTTGTCTTACCCCAGCTCAGACTGTCTTCCCAGGCCTCCTAAAAGCAACTGTGATGCAGTGCAAGGCTTTTTCCTGAGATGTGGAGTTGTGACTCTGCAAGCGAGGGCTGATTTTCCTAAGTGTGGTAAAGCAAACGGAGTAAATTTGCTGCTCTCATTAATGGCATAATGGATACATAGCCCATTCTGGAGACTGTAGGAATACGAAGCAGAAAAGCACTTCTCTGGGCCAGGAAATACCGCTGGTACTCAAGCAGACTTCATCTTGACAGCTGTGTCCCAAGATGTCAGTTTTAATTTGCCCTATGTAGAAACTTTGGTTAGTCTTAAAACTGGACCTAAACTACCGTGTTTTGAGGAGAATCCTAAAATAGGTTTGGCTTAGAGAGTACCCTTAAGAAAAGCAAAGCACGTTATGCACACAGACATACAAGAGCACACAGGATTTGGGGATAAGAAATGACACCAGCTTGGCTTTGTTCAAGGTTCTGATGTCACTTGAAAAGCAGATTGACCTGATTTCTGCTGCACATCTGAGCTGCTGCCTGGACAGCCTCCCAGAGTGGTTTGAGTCTTTATTCATGGAAACTGGAAAGCCAGATTGTTCTCAGTGTATGAAATTCCGTGTGCGATTTGTCAAAGGTGTCCTGACTGCTTTCACCAGAGCTATAAGGACACTGTTCTGCTCACTTCGTGTCTTCTCTCAATTTTTTTGCCCTTCAGTCTCAGCACAGATAGTATGTCTGAGCCTGCAGCAAAGTTACCGAAGGATCACACAAGTCTGGGTTGGTGTTTCATGAATGGGTATGGTAATGGTGTGCTCATCAAAGTGCAGAGAGGGGTATAAGATAGGATCTTAAAACATTACTCCCTAACCTGTGGTGGGAGAGGGAGGTCATGCTGATTAATGTCATTGGGAGTAAAGGAAGAAAGGAGTAAAGTTTACTTGAAGTTGTGCAAATGCACACCAGTGATGTGCACATGTCATGTGTTTGCATCACATAACTAAACATATCACTGGGCTCTGGATCCACATCCTTGGATGAGAGAACTTGCTATTATTCAGAGGCATGCCTTGAATAACAAGTTGAGCTAAACAACCTCCAGAGGTTCCATTTACCCTAAAACCACCTCTGACCATGTTGTGGGATGACTTGGCCAAGGAGATCCACTGTGGCAGAAACATTTTGGCCCTGTCCTGATGAACAGGGAGTAGGTGCCCTTTCCATCAGCGTGCAACAAAGCTGAAGTCTTCCAGCTTACCCCATTGCATATGGCTCATGTTTTTCCCCTCCCACTCCTCAGTCACTGTCATGTCCTGTGGAAAAGACGTCAGATTCTGGCTGCAAAAACTCCCAGGTGGTGACCCAGACATGACTGCAGCCTCATGCGAAAATGCAGATGTGACTTCTTGAGGGTGTTATTCCTGATGTTAGCAGACAGACTCTTCTGAAGCCTTGGGAAAGCTTCAGTTGTTTGTAAACTCTGTCACCCTAAGATGACATTTCTTCTAAAAAGACATTGTTCTTATGACTGTCTTCATCATCTGGGCCTGAGTGGGTCAATCCTGCATGGTGGAGCTATCTATTTAGAGAGCAGACTTTGGCCTCTTCAGGAACCTGCTTAGAAAGGTTCCATGGGATATAGCCCTAGAGGGCAGGGGGGCCGGCCCAAGTCTGTTGGTTGATATTCAAGGATCACCTACTACAAGCTCAGGAGTGTTGCATCGCAACTAGAAGGAAGTGCAGCAGGAGGGCCTGGAGACCTCCTTGGATGGATAAGGAGCTGCTGAGGAAACTTCAAGGGAAAAAAGAGGCTTATAATAAGTGGAAGCAAGGACAGGTGCCCTGGGAAGAATACAGGGGCATTGTCCAGGAAGCTAGGGACCAGGTTAGGAAAGCTAAGGCCCAGTTAGAATTAAACTTGGCTAGGGATGTTAAGGATAACAGGAAGGGATTCTATAGGTACACTGCAAATAAAAGACAGACTAAGAGCAACATGGGCCCTCTCTGGAAGCTATTGGGAGAACTGGCTACCCTGGATTTGGAGAAGGCTGAGGTTCTGAATGACTTCTTTGCCTCAGTCTTCACTGGCAAAGGCTCTGACCACACCACCCAGGTCTTGGAAGGCAGATGCAGGGACTGTGAGAATGAAGACCTCGGGCCCACTGTAGGAGAGGATCTGGTTAGAGACCATCTTAGGAACTTGAACATTCCCAAGTTCATGGGTCCTGATGAAATCCATCCGCGGGTCCTGAAGGAGCTGGCAAATGAAGTTGCTAAGCCGCTGGCCATCATGTTTGAGAAATCATGGTAGTCAGGTGAAGTTCCTGACAACTGGAAAAAGGGAAATATAACCCCCATTTTCAAGAAGGGGAAAATGGATGACCCAGGGAATTACAGACCAGTCACTCTCACCTCTGGGCCTGGCAAAATCTTATAGCGGATTCTCCTGGAAGGCATGCTAAGGCACATGAAAATCAACAAGGTGCTTGGTGACAGCCAGCATGGCTTCACTAAGGGGAAATCCTGCCTGACCAATTTGGTGGCCTTCTATGATGGGCTACAGAACTGATGGACGGGGTAGAGCAGTTGATGGCATCTACCTGGACTTGTGCAAAGCGTTCGACACTGTCCCACACGACATCCTTGTCTCTAAATTGGAGAGACATCAATTTGATGGATGGACCACTGGGTGGATAAAGAACTGGCTGGATGGCCGCACGCAAAGAGTTGTGGTCAATGGCTCAATGTCCAGCTGGAGACCAGTAACGAGTGGTGTCCCTCAGGGATTGGTGTTGGGACCGGTCTTGCTCAACATCTTCGTCGCTGACATGGACAGTGGGATTGAGTGCGCCCTCAGCAAGTTTGCCGATGACACCAAGCTGTGTGGTTCGGTTGATACCCTGGAGAGAAGGAATGCCATCCAGAGGGACCTTGACATACTTGTGAGGTGGGCTGATGAAGTTTAACCATGCCAAGTGCAAGGTCCTACACCTGGATCAAAGCAATCCCAGGCACAGCTGCAGGTTGGGCAAAGAAGAGATTCAGAGCAGCCCTGAGGAGAAGGACTTGGGGGTGTTGGTTGATGAGAAAATGAACATGAGCCGGCTTCAGTGTGCGCTTGCAGCCCAGAAAGCCAATTGTATCCTGCGCTGCATCAAAAGAAGCGTGACCAGCAGGTCGAAGGAGGTGATCCTGCCCCTCTACTCTGCTCTTCTGAGACCTCATTTGGAGTATTGTGTGCAGTTCTGGTGCTCTCAACATAAAAAGGACATGGAACTGTTGGAACAAGTCCAGAGAAGGGCCACGAGGATGATCAGAGGACTGGAGCACCTCCTGTATGAAGATAGGCTGAGAAAGTTGGGGCTGTTCAGCCTGGAGAAGAGAAGGCTGCATGGAGACCTCATAGCAGCCTTCCAGTATCTGAAGGGGGCTTATAAGGATGCTGGAGAGGGACTCTTCATTAGAGACTGTAGTGATAGGACAAGGGGTAATGGGTTAAAACTTGAACAGGGGAAGTTTCGATTGGATATAAGGAGGAAATTCTTTCCTGTTAGGGTGGTGAGGTACTGGAATGGGTTGCCCAGGGAAGTTGTGAATGCTCCATCCCTGTCGGTGTTCAAGGCCAGGTTGGACAGAGCCTTGGGTGAGGTGTCCCTGCCCATGGCAGAGGGGTTGGAACTAGATGATCTTATGGTCCTTTCCAACCCTAATTATTCTATGATTCTATGATTCTATCTCAGGGACAAAGGCTGGGTCAGCCCTGTAAAATTCTGTTTCCTGGAGCCCCACTGCTAGAGTTTCTGTTTGTATTTCCCTTTCTCCAACAGTATTACCCTGGTGGACTATTAACACTTGAAAAAACTCTTGAAAATGGAAAAGCCTCTATCAGAGGGCATGAGAAATCATCAGGTCTCAGGAAAGACCTGGATGGACAGCTGGAAAGCCTGTACATCGATGTACAAATGTCAAGGACTAAGGGGAACGGAGAGGGAGCATCCAAGAGAGTAGTGCAGAAAGAGAAGCCATTTCTTGTGGAGTGAGGTATCAATGCCTAGTTAATGACTTGGCTTTTATCTTACATAGCTCTGGACATTAGGAGTGACTGTGGTTGGAGACCCATTTAAACACCTGTATGTTAGGGTAATTGCGGCTAGAACAGATTTGTATCCACCAGCTGTGGTGCTCCTGCATTTTCCCTCTTCCTCTGAGTGCTGGCAGATACTCAGAGTATCTGCCAACCTTTCCCACCACTTCAGTGAAAGGTGCTTGACCCCTGAAAGTCTTGAGGTCTGTCCTGGGTTCAGCAGTAGCAGTCATTTTTCTCCTTCTTAGTAGCTGGCGCAGTGCTGTGGTTTTGACTTTCAGCCTGAGAACAACACTGGTAACACTGATGTTTTTAGTTGTTGCTCAATAATATTTGCTCTGACCAAGGACTTTGTGAGTCTCATGCTCTGCCAGGGAGGAGGGGAAGCTGGGAGGAAGCAGAGACAGGACACCTGACCCAAACTAGCCAAAGAGGTATTCCATAACATAGCACATCATGCCCAGTATGTAAACTGGGGGCAGTTACCCAGAAGGGCTAGATCACTGCTCTGGTCAGTCTGGGTATTGGTCAGTGGGTGGTGAGCGGTTGTATTCTCTTCCCTTGTTATTCCCCTTATCATTGTTAATATTGGTGGTGGCAGCAGTGATTTGTGTTATACCTTAGTTACTGGACTGTTCTGATCTTAACCCGTGGGAGTTGCATTCTTTCAATTCTCCTCCACATCCCTCTGGGAGTGAGGGGAGGAAGCGGGAGGGAGGGGTAGTGAGCAAGCAGCTGCGTGGTTCTGGGTTGCCGACTGGGCTTAAACCATGAGGAGGTCTCATTTCTCCATCTCTAAGTTCAGCTTGACCATGTTTCAGGGAGGGCTGTGAGTTGACAGCACTTTTGTCACAAGTCTCACGCCCCATCCCAAGGTGAGACCAACTTCAGCATCTAAGGAATCATGAAACTTTGAAGTTTCATGACACCTCTCTTGTCCCTGATTTGTGTTGACTGAGCAGTCTTCCTGCACAGATGCAGTCATTAAGCAGCTTAATTCCTCCAGCAGATCAGACAGAGCCAGGGTTATTTTGGAACTGGGGAGGCAGGGAGGTTGTTTTTAATTTTTTTTTTTTCATTTAAAAAATCAATTATATTAACTTTTTCACCTTTTTTTTTTTGTCTTTTTTTTTTTAACAGACAGCTGATTAAAACAGAGGAAATTATATGCTCCACGATCCTTTTCATAATACAGGTGTTCTCGCTTTGGCCCTCTGAGGCTTCTGGTGAGCTTGTTTATTATTTATCATTAGTATAATAGTTAACTCCTATAACAATTTTGTTTTGGCAGCAAAGAACAGTCAGGGACGGTCAGAGTGCAACCATACAGGGAGAGTATGTAGAAATGTCCCCACACCCCAAGACTTTGAGATACGTGGGTTCCCTTTCCTCCTCTGCCTTTCTGACTGTGTGACCTTGGCAAAGTAATTCCACTTATCTTTGCTCATCATTGTAAAATGAGGCTAATGATGGCACTCTTCTATGTGAAGCAGTTTTGTAGTCTATTGAAGTCAAAATATAATGGAGTGAGGTATCATTATTGAGGGTAGGCAAAACACCCACTAAAAAGGCGTCTGATTCATCATGGGTTGGATTTATCTCTGGATGTACAAATGTAGTTGTCTATATGTGAAATAGATACCTAAGGTTGCACTGTAGTTAGTGAAGATGGATTGACACAGTCTAGAGAGCTGCTAGCTATTTGAATGTAGTTGTCTGTTCTAGGGTGGGCTGAATCACTCCCCAGACTGTACTTACTAATTCTCCATTGACTCTGATGTGGGCTTAAGCATCTGATATCTCTATAGCAAACACCTAAACTCTAATATTGCAGACACCTAAACCTGATTTGGAGACAAATCTTCATCCTGCAGCCTCAGCCTATTTGAGTTTGCGTTTTACTCATGCACTTGTGGCCAAGGATTTGGTTCCCTCCTGCTAATAACATTCTCTTCTTGTTTGGGTTTCTAGTGCTTGATTAGCTTGTTGCTCACAGCTCACGGCTTGCTGGTTGGACCTCTTCAGGGGTCTGTCTCCCCTCTGCCATGTAGACTGTGGCCATGCAGACATCCTCTGAGGCACCTTGATTATATGGAAGATCCCTTCTGCAGAAGACCTCTGGGTGCAGGGAATGGAGTGCTGATTAGTTTCTCCTTGGAGGTTCCTCACAGTAAAGCCATTTCTTGTAATGTTCTGTTTTGGGAACTGAGCACTGACCCACTATGACCAAGAGGGATATCATAAGTTTAGCTCCTTAAGTCATTAATAGATCAGCCTATGCCCAACTGAATTTGTCTTGTGCCAGAGGAGTGGGGGATTTCTAAACTGGTTTCATGAACCAATTTTTGTCCTATATCAGCTAACTTGTGCTGCAGAGGTGGGTGTTTCTTTTAGTCTTTTTTTCCAACTATATAAAGAACTCCTGGTCTAAAGGGCCATCACTTAACATGTTCAGGTCTTCAGAAGAGAGATTTCCATAACCTTCTTCAAATCCTGATGGTTTTTTGCTCCTGTCCAGTTTTTTAG